CCCCAAAACCCCAAAACCCCAAAACCCCAAAACCCCTTTATTCAAGACCCTTGTTGAATTTATTAATAATTTGATAATGGGATCTACTTTCAGCAATTGTGTTAAGTCCATAGAGACCAATAGCTGGTCTAATACTGAGCCTTCTGAGCTCTCTAGCAAAAGACTTGATCGAGAGAAGTTAAGTAAGCTTAAGGATACTGATTACGTGATCTTGAAGAAGAAGAGTAAGTGAAAACTGAGTTTTAACAAGGCTTTGAAAATACATATGGGGAGACTCTGTGATAGTGAATAAACAAGCGTTGGTAGCTTACACTAGTTCTGACGGAAAATAGGGAGTAGTTGAATAATTCTGTAGCATATCTGCAGCGGTACATGGGTTATTCATTGCACGAGTATTTAAATTTTTGGATAGGCATGCTGTAAAGAATACCTCCTACATTTCAGCATCTGATTTACAATCTTTTGCACCCTCTGTAAATTTTTGTTGTGCTCATTACTATTTTGGGAAGCTATAATCTCACCTTATATAGTCAAGGCTAAAGATGTGAATCTAGGATTTAAATCACTTGGGAGACTTGAGATTTCAGATGCTATCATGGAATCTGATCATGAAGACTCCAATTCCTCAACCACATCACAGGAGCACGATAAAGAGTATATTTTTGAAAGATTTGACGGGTTTGATCAAAATCTGGAAAGCAGTCTTTGTTCATGCAGCTGCATCACAGAAGATGAGAATGAGTCTTCTGAGTACATCGAAATTATCCTCAAGAAATCATTTTGAAGCAAAATGCTATCGGGTAATTTTATAAAGATCTGCATTACATCGGAGATGGAGGCTTAGCCTACATTCCTACGTATCCAGTATCTTAATTTCTCTTAAAAATCAATTTCTATACGGTTCTAACTGGTGAAAGTTGCTTCTATTAAGCCAAGATCAGAAATGGAGAAATTTAATAAACCATAAGTGCTAAGCTTCCATCAAAACTTTGAGGCTTATGCTCAGATCTCTCATCTTAGCTACATTCTGTCTCTTCCTTGTAAGCTAATAGGGATTGTGAATGAAAATAGTAATAATATTCTCGGTGAAACCATCCATAATTTTGTAATTAAAGTTTTCTTCTCTGATTAGACACTTCACCCTTACTCTTTTTATGGGAAGAGAGTCTATTGGGACAAAAATTAGAGCATGCCTGACGCTAGTAGGTAGTCTATATCGCTTCTGGCATTTTAGAGCTCGATTTGGAGCCTGAGCCCTAAAGAAGCACAAAGTATTTTTCAAATGTAAATAAAAATTTTGCTAATAGTCTAAATTTTAGCGAAATCTAGTCCCTTAGATTTCCTTTTTATTACAAAAGATAATCAGTCATACAATTTTTTAATACTAATCCTGATTCGGTCAGAGCTTAACTATAAAGAAGGATTTCATAAAATCTAAAATTTTCGTTCAAGAGTTAATAAGCCCTATCTTCTTGATATTTTTAAAATATACATTTCCACTTAATTCTTCGATAAATTACAGTAAAAGAGCTTTAGTTCTAAGCTTTTAGTCTCATAATGCTCTAATTTTTTAAAAATTTATTGCTTCTTGATTGCAGATTTTCCATGAAGCTCGTATAAAAACTTGAACAGAAAGTGGTTGATAACGCTTTTATAAAACAATTTTTAGAACTTTCTCGTGCTTGATAGCTGATACTTTACAGCTCTGATTCATGCTGATATTGTTCTGCAATGGTGCAGTCCTGAAGTTATTATCGGAAATCTTCTTTTAATTTTCAGCAAGTTTATTAGGTCTTTTCCTATTAGAAAGAAATTCTGGGAGTTTTGAGTAAGCAACCAAGGCACTATTTTTGAATAAGATTTCTTGTGTAAATCATTATAAAAATGCCCTTCTATTATGTCGAAACCTTGGGTAGGTGAACAGATTCATGATGGTGCTCATCTAGAGTAAATATGCTATGTCAAAAGCTGATTTCAATAAATTTTATTGTTCCAAGATTGGAATAGAATTTGGCTTGGTCTTGTCACCCACAACTTGGAGAGTTCCTACTCTATTTATTAGCTCTCCTTCCAAGAGTGTAGGTGTTCTTGGGATAAATAGGCTGGGTATATAATTTTTGTGTGAAAATATGTAATCGTGTTCTAGACCCTCACTGTTCTATAGCAGTCGAGGTATTAGATAGAACAGCTGATTGGTGACACTTTTAGACTACTTGATGTTTAGTCAGAGTTGTTAATAGTACTATCGCTTTCAAATACTTCTCTCTTCATAAAATATTTTAATCTCCCTCATTCCTTCCCACAAAATCTCCATTTTCCTTATTTTCTTCCTTACACGACCCCAATCCTAGCTGGGGACTCGTGTTTTACTTAAGAAAATTAAAAACGAGCAATTTCAATGGAGAAGAGTCTGACTGGTTTTAAAGCCATTTTGAAATTTGGGTGAAACAGAGTTTATTCAATAGTTGAGCTTTAATGAGGGGTTTTGGGGTTTTGGGGTTTTGGGG